TAGTATTCTCACTCATTCATTTTTTTCGCTTCCATTTTCATCGTAGAATGTATCTATTATACATAAATTACGAAATCTCAATTCTTCTATTAGACTTTCATTATCAGAATTTTTCTATCAAAATTTACTCACGCTATATTACTTCACAGATATTTGTAATTTGAAATAAACATTTAAAGACAGTAAAGTACTATATTGTCTACTATATATTTTAAAAGTTAGTTTATAATTATTATATTGTTTTACAATATTTTATTTTCTCCAGTATGTAGTAATCATAATTTTTGTTATCATCAAGTATTTTTGAAAAATAATAATAAATTAGAAAATAGATAAAAACTGATTTTAATAACTACTTTATTGAGTAATTTTTAAATCAATATTATTTTACTACGTAAAAAATAATTAAAATTTTTAATACCTTTTTTCGTATATATATGGAAAGAAATATTTTATAGCATTTCATACTTGGTTAATATATTAATATATTATATATTAATTAAATATAAAATGGTTTATGTATAATAAATATAAATACATTCAAATTTTATTTAAATATATTTTAAAATTTATAAAAAGCTATTGAATTGATTGCACTATTCATTTTTAATTATTTAAATCAATTTCAAAGAAAATATTCAATATCTTATAGTTTAATATATGTTTTATATAAACATTGACTGTTATTTTCTTAGTGAACTATTCTTTAAAGCATGTAATCGTATATAATAATACGATCTATGAATTAAAAAAAAATCAAGGATACTTAGAATGAGGTACGTTAATTACAATGTTTAAATTCTACAAATTTTCAGTACTTACCAGCAAGTATAAATTCTGCTACCGTCATCACACATAAGCAAATACTTAATATTATATTAATTTTAAATTGGTTGAACATTGAGAATTTTTCCCAAAATTTATTTTTATTATTGTATAATACATTATTATATAATTTCAGGAAATTAATTTGTTGTTGGTCAATTTTTTTAACAGAATACTATTTATGATTATAAAAACATTTTCAATTTACAGCTGTGTATATAAATTTATTTAATTATATATATTTTTAAAAAATTGTAAAAATAAATTTTTTTTTAAGCCGAAAATAAATACATATATTACAATATTACGTACAAAAATATTAATAATCCGATATTAAAAATTCTAATTAATTATTGACAATAAAATATTTTACTTAATGTATATAACCTTATTTATTAAAATTGCATATTAATAATTTAGAAATAAATTCCTCTTGCCATTTTTATATTGTAAGAAAAAATATAAATCAAGTATAAAAATAATTTGAGAATAAATAAATGTCAGACAGTTTAAATTCACAATAATTTAAATAATTGATTTACGTATGGGCGATATTTGTAAGACTATAAAATATATTCGTTGTATAATGTATATCCTTTTTGTTTGAATACTTTTTTAATGTATATTTGTTAAAAACAATATAAGATACACTCATTTCTTCTATTCTATGTGATTATATGTGACTCGAAATAATATATGAAGTATGAACTATATAACGAAATTGGAAAAGAGGCAGTACTTTGATGGCTTACGAAGAGTATAAATATGTATAGAAAAGATAAAATAAATCAATATAAATCTTCTACAAAGTAAATATAGAAAGATTCTTTATTGTCTTATATAATTTCTCAGAGAGAGAGAGAGAGAGAGAGAGAGAAAGAGGGAGAAAGAGGGAGTGTGTGTGTAGAGAAAGAATGAAAATAGATTAAAAATAATGATATGAGGAAGAATAACTAACAAGATAATGTGAACTTAAATTGTTATCACAGTTAACATATACACAAAGTGAACTAGTTCACCTTTAAAAATGTTAGACTTCTTAACCTTAAGATTACCATTCTAAAGTGGTATGTAGACCGAGTATCCAATCCTGATCGCTTAAGAGATAGTTCTACTGCAATGCTATTAATGGGCATCGACATCAGAGATAAAAAACTAGTTCATTTCTATTTGTCGTCATCACTGTTATTGGCATCAACGAATACTTTACTTGGAAATGTTATATCGCACTTCCTCATTCAATTGCAATTCACTAAGTTTTATTTAATTACCACAAATGAATTATTCGCAACTTCAATCATTTGGCTTATAAATATATATATATATAATTTTTTGCCAAAGAAATACGTCAGCCCGTTGTTTCCAAAATATACAGAATTGACAAATATAAAAATAAATATGTATATGTACAAGCAACTATTCGTATAAAACATTCTTTATAGAATGTTAAATTAATTTTCATGATATTTGTTTCATTATGGCATGTATTATCATAAACCATTTATTATATTATTATATTATTATTATATATATTATTTATTATATTTATTATAATCATCTATAATGAAAACAGTATCACTAATAAATATTTTACACGTATTTTAAATTATACAACATTTATACTGATGTAATAAAACTTTTATTAACAATAAGAGAAATAATATATTGTTGAAAATAATATACTTCTCTTAAATATATATATATATAATGAATACAAATATACAATATTATATACTCAGAGACAGACAATATATAAAATAAATTCGTACAGTTATATTTTATATATATATATATATATACTAATAATAACGATAATGACAATTTTATTATTCGTATTTTTATTAAATATTTAATAGTAAAAACATTATAATATATATACATTATTTATTATGATTATAAAAGGAAACTAAAAACTAAATACAACAAATTAAATACAAATAATTTGTATGTTCTGTATATAAATTTTATTTATACTTAGAGTTTGTTTGTTAAACATTTTTTAAATAATAATTATTCAAATTATTTTTATAGGCATATATATAATTAAAAATAAATATTTTTATTTACAAAATGATATATCGTAGTTATTAAGAAATATAACAATATAATTAAAAATTTGCGTATGTCTAAAATACTGATGACATATAAAAAATGATATTTTGAGTTAGATAAATTAGTTAACAAAACGTTTTTTGCGAATAATGTGTATATATATCCTATTATAAAGATATTTGCACAGATGAAAAGAGTACAAATTACAAAAAACGGAAAAAACACGATTTTCCATCTATGAATTACTATTTGCCGTAGGATACAATTAAGGTTTCTATTGCATGCTTGTCATGAGATGAGTAATTTTATGTACTAATATATTTCGCTGTTCTGCACAGCTGAAAGCATTATCAAATCATTATTTTTTAATATGGGTGAAACTATCATACGAAAAAAATAAGAAACATTCCACTTTTGAAATTATTAACGATTTTATTAATATATGTTACTTTATTAAAATATTTTTATTTTATTTTAAATATAATGATCTGATAAATAATAAATAATACAGCATAATATTAATGGCAAGTGATCAATAATTGAAAACAATTAATTTTATAAAAATAAAGAAAAATTAGAAATTCTTTTATTATTTTCTCCTAAAGAACGTACAATCTATTGTATAAAATTGATTCATTTAAAAAATAACACACTGCATGTATGCTCCTTTAAAATGAAATATATTATATGATTTTAAAAATTTTCATAATATAAATAAAAGAAGTAATTCGAATTTATAAAAGAATATTTTATCTTGTCATAAGCAAAAGTTTCTTAATCTATTTTTTATTTTTTTAATATTCTATCATAGTTATCAAGAACTTTAATCAATTTTGAGTAATGATAAAGTGTGTAGTTTCTTCATATCAGATCGTTATTCACTATTTCATTGTTCTCTTACGAATGAATTGATTGATTAAGTTACAAAACTTCGATCAGGAAATAAATTGAAAATTAATAAAAAATTGATGGACCATCTTACGTTTAATATATTGTTCAGTGTATTTAAATATGCTTTTATACACAAAGCCATATATAGATACACACACGTACGTAGGTACGCACGCAGCCACACACACATTCAATCATACACATAAATGTATGTATATTTTAAATGCATTTAAAAACACATTTTTATTTTTTAATATATAGATATATTGTAGGCAACCTTCTCTGTTTTTCGAGACACCGGTAACAATAAAGTAAAATTTGTTTCAAAGCAGAATAAGAATTTCCTCCTCCACAATTAGAACTGACGTAACTTTCTCATTATAAATATATAGCACACCTTCCTTGTGTTTGCGTTAACACTAATGCACTAATAATACACTAATGCATGTACATCGTTTGCACATAAATGCATATTCGAGTTCACATTTATTGTATGACTACTTTATGTTTTCGACAAAGAGAACTACAGAGTATGCGATACAAATGACGTCATCGTTGTCACGACAACGATGCTATTTACGGATTTTCTGTTTCTTACAAAGTTGCGAAATATAGAATTATGCCTTTTAGAGCCGCAAAAGAACGTTCAACATGGATAAGATACCTTTAAAATAATAAATTATGTATATTTATTTTTGCTATATTTTATATACTTATTTTTTATTTATTTAACATTTGTTTTGTAAATATTTGTCATTGAATTAACGCATTTGGAATTTTTATAGGTTTATACCACTAATGCCTGGTGTAATAACGCATAATAAAATTACTGATCAATCAATTCCTTCAAATTTTTATTGCTTAAATAATTTATATGGATATTGTTGCAATTATATTTTTACAATGTAAAGATATGCTAAGTAATATATTTTTAAAATGTTTACATATAATTCTGGTTTATCGTATTAATAGATATATTAGAAATAGAATTTGAAATTAAGAAAATAAATAGCTAACTATAAATTGATTCTACTGAATAATTTATTTAAATTTAAATTTAAATTTCAAAAGCTTTAATTATATAGGTTATTGGAAAAAATAAAATAAATTATATGCAATATTTCAAATTAAATTGGTTATAAATAAATACAATAAAAATTTCTTTTTGAGTAGTAAATAATATATGTATAATATGTAATGTATAGTATAATTTCTTTTTGAATGTATTTCAGGTCAATATGGTATGAGCAAAAGCTTGAAGAACGGCGGTCTTTTCCCACCCGTGTTTAACGTTGCCGCAAAGGCGGAGATCCGAGTAAATGCAACTTGCGGCGAAGATGGGCCGGAGACCTTTTGTAAACCCGCGGAATCTTTGCATTGTGCCATATGCGATTCTCGTAGCCCAGATCCTAATAAGCGACATAATGTTAACCACGCGCTTGACTCGAGCCCAGGTCGTTGGTGGCAAAGCCCAACACTCGCCCGTGGCGACGAATATGAGTACGTGACGATCGATCTCGAGCTTAAACAGGTAGAGGATCACTGAAACGGTATAGTTCTTTCATATTGATTTTTCCAGATTTTCAACATAGTCTTGCTGCTTTCTCTTTTATACTTGCTATAGTTAGATTAATAGAACTATTAACACGAAACTTGTTTCATTAGATTATGATACTGAAATTATTTTGCAGTTGTAAATCTATTATATATTTTTTTTCTAGATAGGAATAAAGATAATAATTTAGCAATACTTTTTACTTTAAAATAGTTCTTATGAATGTTTACTTTTCCAACTTTTTATCATATCCATTTCAAACAAATCAGTATATTAAAAGTATATCAGTTTTTCATCAATTATTAAGAAAGTTAAAAAACTATGTTTCTAATTAAAGATAAATATAATAAATAATTAATTCGTTAAGAAAAAACCATGTGTTAATCGTTCTGTAGCCGTAATTAGTTAAATGGTAATGAATATCTTAATTCTATCTCGAATCCCAATAAAAATGATGTAACATTATCAAAAAGTAAATACTTAAGACTCCATTTTACTTACACAGCAAATGACTTAAAACAAAAAATAAAAATAAGTATGAATAAGATATATGTAAGAAGTACAAAAATTAAATATGTAAGAGAGAGAGAGAGAGAGAGAGAGAGAGAGAGAGAGAGAGAGAGGAAAACAGAGTATCACGCGAATAAGAATATAAAGAGAAAATTAAATATGAGGTATTTATATAGAAGGTAGCTATGAGTGTCAGCCAATGTTTTTTGAGATATTAGGAAATTTAATAAATATTGTAATTTTTCTTAGATACTAAAAAATAGCAAACAACCTAACATAATTATATCGAAAAACTAAATATAGTACTCATCGATTAAAGCCTTAAGTACCTGTGTATTTTTTTTTTAATAATAATTTTACTGTCCAAATATGAACAAATAGAAGACATAAGAATAGCATAAGAAGCTTGAATAGAATAAGAAATGAGGGGTCAGAATATTTAAAGAAATATTATTCATAGTAAATGAAAAAAAGCAAAATATAAAAAGTAGAATAGGAAAAAGACAAACATGATGAGAGAAAAAAATTGTAACTCTCCTTGGTTTCCTTTCGTTAGGCCAATTTAATGCATTGTGCTGCATTTTCCCATTCGATTTATGTATCTTTCGAATTGCATCTTATACGATTCGGCTGAGAACTGATAAACAGTAAGTGAGATCATGATGTATACTTGCCCATTTTAAAAAATAAGAAAAAAATCAGCGAATAAACAAGTATTTGGTGCTTATGATAAATAATATCCGTTGGATAGAGAGGAAGAATGAAATATAGAAGGAGAGAAGACATTGAATAAAAATGAATAAAAGTATACAATAAAATAGTATTTGCATAAAATACTATTTTCAGAAAAATCTATATAGATATGACGACAATTAATTATATTATTGATAATACATACATTCACATAAAAATATTTTTAATAATTTACTGATTTATTTCATTATTATATTTATATAATCTCTTTCTTTTATTGCTATATTATATTATAAATCAATAAAAGATAAGTGATTATATAAAAATTAATTATAATAAATGCATTCAAAATGAAACTATTGAATTAATTTGTTCATACTTCTTTAGATATAAATTGCAAGATGTTTTTAAAAATAAATTGAATAAAATTTTTTTTTTTAATTAAAAATGTATTTTTACAAAAAGTATTCGATCACGTACACTTAATAATCTTCTTTAATGAAATATTTTAGAAAATATTAAAATTTCATGTTTAATAATTCATTATTTGATTTACAATTTGAAGATTATTTAACTTTCAGATTAATTAAACTAAACTTTAAATCTAGTGTTAACACGTACAATCAAATATTAATAAAAATTGGAAGAATTATTATATAATGTATATTGTTATTAAACTTTTAATATATTGTATAAAACAGGAGTTAGAATAATAAACAATGTTATACATCTATTCTACTGAGTAAGATTTTGTCATAAATGATAGCTGCATTTCTATATATTTGTAGTATATAGATACTGTAAGAATAGTTTGATTAATTTTTCGTGTTTTAACATATAATTTAGTAACATATATGTAATAAAAATCTATCATTTAATAGTTTAATACTTTTATGATATAATGAAATTATTGCTATTTTTAGAAATATTTTAAGCAAAGAAAAAAATTATTACATAAAAAAATAATCAGGTGTTTTATCACGAAATAATTTCTTAGTTGAATCTCTAATTTATTTTTTTTATGAGGACATTTGAGATCGTTAAAATTTTAAGATAATCATTGCGCATAATACAAAATATATAACATAATAAAATAATACTTAATACTAAACACCGATCAAATATATTTGGGAATTAGATATCTATTAATTTGTTAATTCCCACATTATTTTTATAAAATTCTTTAACTTAAAATTTCTGTGATAAAGATATGTTTTTAAAAATTTCACGTTATTGTAATTAATACTAAAAAATCCATGTAAATTCTATATACACATAATTCTTATCATTAATAAATTAAAAAATTGTTTTACTAGAGTATCTTACGCATATAAATATTTATGAAATTATTAATATACATGCATTTACTATAATAAAATTTTTTATGTATTAATAATAAATATAATTACCATAAGTAAATTAAAAAATATATTTTTATTAATAATTGAATAAAATAAAAAGTGTTTTTTAAAATAATATTGGTTTTAATTTTTAATATTTGATTTAATTAAGTTAAATTGAATTTAAATTGAATCTATATTATCATTAGTTTAAAATTAATTCTAATGAAAATGTTGAATTTATATTTTATATATATTATATGTATATTATATTTTTATATAATAGAATCTTTTAAGTAACAAACATTTTGAAAACAGATTCTATTTACAACTAAATCAGATTTTAGAAAAGAAACGTAATAAATATTGTATTAATTCTGAATCAATTTTTAATTCTCATATAGTATATTATATGAATAATATAAATATATTATTATAATATAATTAATATAATATATAATATAAATATAAATAATAAAAATAATGTGGAATGTAATAAGGGTTGAAAAGATAAACAGTAATGGAGAAGTGCATAATCATTCGGTATATTATCTCTTTTTTTTATATATTTACACGTAACTATATATTATATTTAAGGGTTCTCATATTGTTCAATTAATAAAGCAACATTTTATAATTAATATACTTAAAAAAAACAATGTTTATTAATTTGTTTTTATTAGAAAAATTTTTATTAAAAAAATGTTTATTAAATAATAAATGTATATACATATTTCGTTTTACACTACACAGTGCATAGCCTTTAAAACGTATATACATAATCGCCACATATCACGATGAAAAGATCGATAGCTATAAGACATTTGAAATTAAATTTTTTCTCTCTTTTTCTGAATCATTTTCTCCTCTTATTCTTTGGCTCGTATTTTGCAGTGATTTACTTGCGTACTTTCTAGGATAATGAAGGTAACTCTTTTGGATAATGAGCACAGACTGTTGCTACGACACTTTCAAAAAAACGTCAGTAAACATTGTACGTTATCATTATGCTTTGCAGTACCAACTTTGCGATTTTCACTTCATACTTTATTAATTACTTTTTCTTTACATCCAGTCTGACACAAACATATTCTTAATCAGACAAATCCAAAAGTAAGTATTCATATAGCCATAACGATTCGTAGTTGCAGATCATGCTCCCATATTACAATTTTTCTATTTTAGATTGTATATAGGCTTATGAAAACTCATTAAGAAAGATTATAAGTCGCTGTGAAAAAATATTTATGCTGCTAATATCCTATATATTAAAACATGAACGATTTTCACACATCTCAGAAATGTTATAAACGTTCTATAAAATATAATTACAATATCATAATAAAAAAAAATTTTACTATGTTGACTACGAAATTATTTTTTCTTATTTTTCAAAATTTTTTTAGTTTTCTTTTCAGTTAAATAAAAAGAGTGAAAACACTTTTAAATATATTGATACTTAAAGTTTAAATAATATTTTTAATATTTTTTTTAACTAAATAATATCTTATGTATTTATAATAATATTGCACCAATGTTTATGTATATAGTTAATTCTACATCAAGTATTAAAATGACTTTAATCTCCTACATAATATTACTTTATAATTAAGTAGTAAAGACAATAGTTCTATTTTATGAATTGCTTGAGAACTAAAATTAAATATAAAAAATTTAATTTGTGCATACTTGTAAACATAAAAATAACAAGTCATATATATAAACAAAATAGATTTTCTTTTCTGTCATTTCATTCTTACTTACAGAGTGTGCGTACAATAATAAATAATACAATACAATAAGTAAAATAATACAAAAATAATAAATAAGTAACAGTAAAATTATTTCCTTTGCTAATAAAAATAAAAATGTAAATATATATAGATCTAAGTTAAAAATAGAATTATCTATAAAACTTACATTGACATCTTTCTTTAAAAAACTTAAACTTTATCCCTTTACAAATAAAAATTATTTACAAAGAAAAATTACTTGTTTTTTAAATCTATTTTAATAGAAATTAAGAGTAAAATACTATGAAATATACTCGCGCTTGCTTATCGCGGAATTTTCCAGACAAAAAATATATACTTTTGACAGAGCCAAACGCACATGTATGGCAGTAGAAAAGGAAAGGGTAAAAGGAATAAAAAGGTTTGTTTAATACACCAGCTTTATAACCACGTACTTATAAGCAGGTTATATTTACTAGCATCAGAAAAGTCCATATTACAAATATCAATTCTGCATCTAAACTACAGTTGCGAAATTCTATAATTCATATTTATACATTTAATTTTTTTATCTTTTAACACTAATGTATTCCGTGAAAATATGATTTAGATGGAAAATTTTTTATAAACATTATATCAGAAAAATTAATATAAACGCTTAAATGATTTTAGTAACTTTTATTTCATAAATTAGTAACTTTTTTTATACTCCAACCAGCTGTAAGTCCAAATAAATACTATTTCGAATTAATCATCTAAAAACTTTTACATCAATATTAATTTCAAAATACAAAGTCCTCATTAGACAATAACGGAATTTGATTTCATTTCTGTTTGATGTAAACAGCTAATTGAAAATTATAGCTTATTTAATATAGACTATATATATATATATATATATATATATTATGAATATAAATAAGCTTTTATTTTCGTTTATAATAATACTATTGATTTATTAAATATTATTATTACTATTATTAATTTCACTTTTTAAGTTTGAAAAACAGAACATTTTACATGAATTCAAAGTATCATAATTAGAAAATTAACGAAAAACAAGAATTATAGTTAAATTTAAAAATAAATTGACATAGGTTCATAAAATACATAGGCATTTATCAACTGACATAAGCTTCTGAAAAATGTAGAATTATAATTAAAAGATGAAAATTTTGTCATATAATTAAAATATTTATAATAATATTATATTTACGTCAAGTATTATAGTAATTAAAAAAGCCAATTTTAAATTATGAATGATTTTAAAAACTATTTGAATGAGGTAGTTTACTATATAAACAGATTATTGATATATTTCTGATTATTATTCAATTTTGTAAAATATTTATATAAATAAACCTTATTTAAATAATATTTTATACTTCTTAAAATATTATTAAAAATAATTAATAAATAAAAAATAATGGACGGAACGCAATGAAATAACTACGAGAGTGAAGTTGCACCTGAAAAACGTTTTAATTACTCTTAAAATAAACGTAAATTTATAAGTAAATCTGAAAAAAAAGAGTGAAATAAAAAATATATATGAAACATATTACTTAAAATGAAGAAGATTAACAGTAACTAAAGCGAAAATAAAATTTAATTAACAAAATTAAGAAATAAACACACGTGCATTTGTACCAAACTTTCAGATCTTCTTTGAACAATGTTATCAATGCCAAGAATCTATGAAAATGCTCTTTCAAGAATTCCAGTTCTTTTATTCGCGATCTTATTCAAATTTGTAAAGCTTATACTAATTCATACATTGGATGAACTACGGACAACTCTCATCATTAACTACCTCGATCCTATCATGGGATCTAGTGATTTTATAATTTCCAGTACATATTTGTTCTCGTATTTAAAGGTATTTATCCCCACTTATAAGAACTAAGGTAACTTGGTAAAACAAAACTATAACCACCGAGAATGTGTTGTTTTAAAAAGGAAAATACTGACTATTCTCGAAGTGTTCAGAATATATGTTTACTGTATGAGTAAATACATGTTAAAGCTTCTTATAAATATATATATATATTTTTTTTTTATTTTGTTTCATTAACTTGCCAAATATTAAAAATGTATTTCCCCAAAGTTACGAGTAGTATTTATAAAAATACTGTTACATTAATACGATCAATTTATTATCAATAAATCAAGAATTGCTTCATATGTCTTGTGATTGTTTATGAAATTAGGAATATTTTCACATGTCAGAATTAACATTACTTTATGTAGATTAAATCAAGTATTTACTTTAATGTAACTCATAAAAACGAATTATTTTATTTATGAAAAGATGTAAAATAATTAAAAATTATTTTCAATAATAATTAATTATAATTAATTGTACATTTTAACAAAAATGCATTATTTATAAAATATTCAATAGATTAACATATTTTTTTAATTAATGAATACGCCAATAAAGTGCAAAATTAAATTAATTTTTTTGAAAAATCTTTTAATTAGATGTATTAAAATTATATAAATTGTATATTAGACATCAAGCACACTAAAACCCTTTTTATGAAAGTTCAATATAAAATATTATTTATAAGTTTTCTTAAAATATTCTCACAGACTCTAATAATAACTCATGATATACGTAATTAATATTATAATATCATATATAAATGATAAGTTAATGAACACTAATATTAATCATTAAACATTTAATTACCTATTTTTATTTAAAAACTATATAGAATAAACTATAGTTCGTAAGTTATAGTAAATAAACATCTATATGTTTATTTTTTTGAAGTAGTAGAATAATCTATACAAAATTAGGTATTTTAACATTTTAGAAATATTTAAGTCGATTTATTAAAATTATACAAAAAAATTATTTTTATTCTTAGATAAAATTGCATACGCGTGTTTATGTGCACATCATAGTATATGTAGGTATAAACTTTATATACTCATATGTAATTTAATATTCCAATACTTTTCAATGATGTATATGATTATTAGAAATGATTATTTAAGCGCTAAACAAAATTCAACAAAAAAAATGTAGATGATGACAAATATAATATTTTTTTCAGATATATCAAATAGAGTACGTTATTATAAAGGCTGCTAATTCACCAAGGCCAGCAGCCTGGATTTTAGAAAGATCAATTGATGGAGAATATTTTCAAACATGGCAATATTATGCACCAAATGATGAAGAATGTTGGACACGTTATTCAACGCCCCCTGTTCTTGGAAAACCAATGTACATTCAAGATGATGAAGTTATTTGCACTAGTTTTTATTCGCGTCAAACTCCGATGGAAAATGGAGAGGTGAAAACTATCAGGAATTATTGGAAATGGAGAAGTTATTTTTTCGAATTTTAACTTTAAACAGTTAATAATAATTAGAAATTCAGAAAAATTTCAAATTTAGTATTTGAATATTTAAAATTTCTAAAATATAATTTATAATAGTAATATTATTTAAATAAAATATTTCTTCCAATTTTAATTAAAAAATAACTTAATACTTTTTCTAATTTCTTTACAAAAACTTTAAAATAAGTATTATTTTCGACAATAATTGTTGATTCGCAGATTTTTAATAATACGCAGACATAAAATCATTTTATAAAAATTATCAAAAAACAGAAATGTAAAAGTTGCAGCTTCCCTTAGGTGAATACAACACATCCCTTATACGGATCAAGGAGAATACCGTACATGGCTGGAATATAGCAATCGCCGTTTTTGTCATCGACTTCATGCGCTTGTTCCCTTCATTCTCTTTATACCTTCATTGCTACCTCTCTCTCTCTCTCTCTCTCTCTTAAAGGCAATCATTTTTAAACATAATATTTATCTACAGTTTTTTAATTTTATTATTTTTTAAATATTAAAAAAGATTGATTCGAATCATTTAAAAGTTATTATTTATATATAATATAATTGGAAAAATCTATAATTACTATAACATTTAAAATTTTTTTTTTGAGTTATATTTATATTTTTTGCCTACATGAATATGTTATTCCATTAATCCGCAAATCTATAGAATACAATTCAATATTTAATACTTTTATTTGAAAGTATTACTTTCCATTTTTCTCTTTTCATTAAAATAGTATCGATTTTATTTAAAATTGTATAACACTTTCATCTTTTTGTGTCTTTATATTTTTCATTTGTATGTAAGATATTTAAACTCGAAAAATAATAATACCTACGGTTGAAGTAAAGTATTTATTTATATAATAAATATATAATAAAATCTTATTTTATATAAAATTTGAGGGACAAAACTTTTATATGATAGATATATTTATATTTTTAATTATATATGTGAAATATATTTATAAATAATTGTAAATAAATATAAGTAATTTCTTTATATATAATTTTTTATATAAAATATAATGGATTTAAAATAATATAGTTTTGCTTTAAAATATGTAGTTTTAATAGAAAATAAGCAGAGTTTATCACATAAAAAAAAACAGTTCAAAAAAATTTTTTTAAATATTCCTATTACTACCAGAGTTTAAGATTTTTAAAATTACTTTGAACGACTTTTACAACAAAAAAAATAAGACTATGTATGTTATATGTAGAAAAACATTTATGGTTGTAGACTTGGATTTCATTTCTTTTAGTTAAATTTTGTTTTACAGATTCACACGCAACTTTTGAATGGACGCCCAGGTGCATTAAACCACACGCTAGCGATTCAAGATTTTACTCAGGCTCGATTTGTTAGACTGCGCTTTCAGGGTCTTCGAAAAAGAGGCGAAGCTATTGTTGACAAAAGGCGAGCTTTTTATTCGATTCGTGAGATCAATATTGGCGGAAGATGTCTATGTTCTGGACACTCATCCCGATGTAAATTCAACGAACTTCAAAAGGTAAAGAATTTTTTGCTTTTATGTTAAAGAATGAACGATTAATGTCAGTGTGTAAATAAATATTTTTTATTATAATATAATTATTATTATACTTTACATGAATTAAAATAACTTCTCTACAATTTATGTCTTTACTTATAACTTGTGTAGGTGAAAATGTATCTTATGTAGATATATAATATTTATAACCTTTTTTATTATAACTGATTATTTGAAATCAATTATTCTCTTATTACAAGTTTAGTATATGTTACTTAATACATTCGATATTAATATTTATTATTTAATAATTAATAATATTTAGGCTTATGTTTAATATTTAATAGCTAGTACTTATTACTTCTGTAGTTTTATTAAATTAAAATAATGTTTTATTAAAAACATTAGAAAAAATTATTTATTATAATAAAAAATGTATTTATATGTACGTGTTTAATTAGTAATAATTTGGCACGATGTCTCTTATGATGCGAATTTCAGTTGAACGAAATTACAAAAATTTTACTATATTTTTTGAAAATCAAATTATTAGTACGTACCTTTCATTATTTGTGAATTTGTAGTTGATTTCAGTATTTGTGAATGTGGAGCTAGAATTCTACTTTCATTATTTTGTAAGATACTTCGTATCTTACACAATCAATAATTATATGTAATACAGTAAAGTATTTATCAAAAACTTACTTTGTGTATTTTTGAAATAGATTCAATATGATACTTTCTATTAGAAAATTTCAAAAACATATTTTTACAAGTTTGCAAATTAATACATATCTGTTAATATATTAAATAATAATAGTATTGAAAATAATCAATTTTTTAGAAAATTATTACCTAATCTATGATAAATCGTTAAAAAATTTATTACACTATATTAAGTTTTTTATTGATCTATAATTGTAAACACAGTTTGTAGAAATAAAAATGAAAAAATATTTTATCTATGAATGAGTAATGTGATTGAAACATTAATTTTAAAGTCAAACATAATAATATATACAATTAAAAATATAGAATAGAATAAATAAAAAGAATCGTTTACATTTAAATAATTTAATAGAAAAAAATAAAAAAAATTTTTCAATTTCTAATTTAAATTAAATTTTAAATTATCGAATGATTTTATTTTTCTTATTAGATTAATTTTATTAATTTTATATTATATTACAATGATTGATATATAATTGTAATAATAATTAAAATAATTATATCTTTCATATAAATTAGCATTAATTATTATATAGTAATTCTCTGTTATAGAATGAACAAATTTGCTAAAAACTATAACGTAACAATCATTACGATTGATTACATATTTTTTAATTAACAAAAATTTTAGTAATACTTACTTTTCCAATAAAAACAATAAATAATATTTTTATTAATACATTTATTAATTTGCTTTTAATTTTTAAATAAATTAATATAAAGGTTAATATTTGAATTCAAAATATATTGCGTGTACTTATTATCCATTATTACAATTATTATTTAAAAAGTATTCGAAATATATATATTACTTACATTTATTTTTCTAATTGAAATGTCTATATATATATATAAGAGAAAGATTAATTCATTGTGAGCATATATGTAAAATAAGTAACGGTAATACTGTCGAATATTCGCAAAGAAAAATAAAAATCGATAATAAAATATCTCAAATAATTTTGCAATAAAAATTTAGAAAATTTTACTTATTGGTGTGATAATAGAAGTAATGGAAAAAATATATATATTATTTATTACTTTCCAACAATATTCCATTTATTTTTTAAACTTCTCTAAAAAATTCGTATAAATGGTAAAAATATGAAATAACTGAAGAAATTGATTTATCATTTTCATGATACTAAAAAGTTATTATTTATTACTCAAAATTAATGTATTAGGAATAATATTAATGTGGAGAATAAACGAGTTTGGTCAGACAAATGCTTTAAAATATGAAATACATACACCTATAAATTAATTATATAAATTATAATTGCATATTATTTATCGAATTAATACATGCTTTACTTTAAAATTTTAGACAAAAAGGACATTAAATTTAATTTGTTAGAGGAAAATTGTTACCAATACATCTTGGAAAAAACAAAAGAAATGTAAAAATATAATCACAATAACAATGTCGATACACATATTTAATAACTATTCCCACTTTCTACGTTTACCGTTATATTTTTTGTACTCGAAATTTTGAGATACAATTTTTGTGTACGCATCATTCAATACACTATTGGTTAGCTTGTGAGAATACTAGGATTTTTGTGCTGAAAATGTGAAAAATATGATTACATGTATATAAATCGTAGAAAGAGTTTGTTGTTTTCTGTATCAAAAATGTTCGGTGCTTACAGGCACTGCTAGTTGTGAAATTTCTTGCCTCGCGACCATTAGTCATCTAGACATTCATTATTAAATAATTAGAATCCTACAACATCAAAGAAATATAAAGAATATTTTTAAGAATATATAATTTGAGCACATGTGCTAGTAGATATATGGGCAAATTCTGAAATAAAAATATGATGAATCATAGAAATGTCAAAACAAGTAATTACAAATAATTTGAAAATATTTAAAATTAATAATAATTTCTTACTTTTAAGTAATCACTTTTTAATTTTTAAATTCGTTTTTTAATTTATATTTATTTCGTATTTAAATATTTTAATTTTTTATTATTTTTTTATATCGTATTTATTTCCATGAATTTGATCTTATACAATACTTATTATATTACAATATTATTTTCTTAACTATTAAGGTAAGTGATGCAATATCTTAATTCTATAACAGTAAATTTATTTAATAGCAAGTATAAAATTTTATATAACTATTTCTACTTACTGAGTGTCAAAAATAAAATATGGAATTTTACATAAATATATATGAATATTAATATATATAATTTAAACATAAATTTGTTAGAAATTTTATTTTTTATTTTTCTCTTAATAAAACTGGTGGTAATAAAATATATGTATAGATTAAATACTGAAAAATTCTTATTAAGAATTTGAAATTAATATTAAACGTAAAAATGAATTTTGAGAAATATAATTAAAATATAATTATAATAACAATGAAAACATAATTAATAGTTAAAAAGTAACATCATTATTGCCTTTTATTGAATGAAGAAGAATGAATATGACTTTACAAAATATTTTTAGAAAAATAAACTCAAATTTATATTCAAATTGAAAAATTATAGTCTATTATAGAAATCATCTGTTAAGAAAATTATTTTAATTGATATGTTGAAAAAATTATTCAAGACAATTCTTAATTCATCGAGTAACAATAGTTTTACTTAAAAACTTATTTATTAACAGCGTGAAGAGTGTGAGTGCGAACGACACACGTGTGGGGAAATGTGTGAAAAATGCTGTCCAATATATAATCAGATTCCATGGAAATCTGGTGTTTCGAGTAAAGGCTTCCATTGTGAAAAATGCAATTGCAATGGACATGCAATTTCTTGTCGATATGACTCTGAAGTTGCAGAAAGAAAACTTTCAATGGACATCCGCGGAAAATACAGAGGAGGCGGTGTGTGTTTGAATTGCACGGTAAGACAACAAAAGTATTAAGTCTACTTTTTATAAATAAATAACAATAAATTTTATGCAATATTACTATTAAAAAATATCATTAATGTAAACAAAAATGATATGTATAAAAATAACAAAATATAAACTTATTGCAGATATATTAATTTTATTATATTAAATCTTAAAAGATTAATTTAATCATAATATTATGATTTAAATATTGTTTATAATTAAAATTAAATTAAAATATAATAAAAAAATATCAACCAATTAGAGTTCTATTTTAGATACATTGAAATTAAAATTTTTGATGTAATAAAAGTATTATAGAATAGCTAAAAGATTAAAATTAAATGTTTAATAGTTAAATTTTAATGTAAATATTTTGTATCGATAAAATATGTATCAATTCATTGTATGTATATACATATGTAAATAAATATATGTTAATAACATATGGTTTATAAATAATCAAATTATTGTAATAATAATTATGTTTGTTATACTAATTTTATTATTTTCTTTTTTACGTCTTCTAGGGTTATACAACTGGAATAAATTGTGAAAAATGTGAAACAGGTTACTATAGACCTAATGGAGTTTTACCCAATGATTTTGAACCTTGTATACCATGTGAATGTCACACGCGTGGAAGTACTGGCGTTTGCATATCCGACGATTCTTACAATAATTTGGGAAAGGTATTCATAAATATATTCTATATTTAACACATATATGAAATTATTTTTTCTAATAAGACTAGAATATTATATTATTAATTAACTAAAGATTAAAATATAAATCACGAGGGTGGTATAAATTCCATTACCGAGGAACATTCCATTCATTGTTCATATATATATATATATATATATATATATATATATATACCACATTATTATTTTATATAATTGGTTTTAGTACTTATTCTATAAAGTATTAATCTAGATAAGTTTTAACCTACATAAGTTTTAATCTAAATTTAAACTATTCCAATAAGCTTTTTTAATACAAATTCTGTTCAAAATATAATCAAATATTCATGAGTCTACCATACATAATGTGTTCTTTCAATAATAATAACTATTAAAATACCTTAAGATTGAAAAATGATCAACTTTGTCGAAACAACTGACCAATTTAGTAAAAAAACATTATTTAGAGGTATACTAATACAACATATTTAGATCTTATAACAAATATAATAATTTATATTTAGTATAATATTCAAATTAAATTTATTCTAATACAAATATATATAACGGAATGTTTATTCATTAGATGAATTTTCTCAAATTAAAGAAATTATTATTATCAACAGTAATTTTGGTATTAACGAGTTCAGACATTAAGTTTTCAAATCATGTTGTTTGATCCTCATCAAATTTGAATATGAAATGCAGGATTCCAAACAACGACTGAAAGCACAAAATTTATATAAATTTACATAAATCATTGTTTATGTAATAAAGCAGAAACGATACAAATAATTCAGTATATAAATTATCAGTAGTAAATAAATTAGATTTGAATAATTTTAAATCGCGTATCCTATTTATTCTAACAAAATCTACAGGTGGCGGGTGCGTGTGAATGCAAACCTGGCTACTCTGGACGTAAATGTGACCAATGCGCCGCTGGTTTCAAACAGTTTCCTGACTGCGTACATTGCCCATGTGATGCCCGCGGCATTCTCTCATCCCACGATTGTGAAGGCAATTGTCTTTGCAAGCCCTTCGTGGAAGGTGATAACTGTGATCGATGTAAATCTGGTTACTTCTTCCTTTCGCGGGATAATCTGGAGGGTTGCATAAGCTGTGAATGCTCCGGCGTATCCAATGATTGTAGTTCTGCGAAATTATCACTCAGACTAGTAAGTGACAGTGCTACTATCTTATATTTATTCCCTACATTACCTATTCCGTTTTCAGATATTGAATATATAATAAGATTTTACAAGATGACAAATTAGATACAATCATATTATTTTTAATAACATGAAAATTCTTACTTCAGTTACTTATTCTTGTTGTTCAACAGAATAAAAATTTATTACAATTAGAAGAAAGTAACAATAAAAGTCGATACGCAATAAGTATTTATATAATATTTATACTTATTTATGGGTTTAAAAATCTTAATAGTAACAATAAGTGAATAATAAATATTCTTGATGACTAAATAATGTTCAGACTAAATTAATTCAGAATGTAGTATTGTTATTATTTTAGAAAGGCAATAAAAGCAATATCGATGCATTCATATGAAAGCATTTGCGACTCGTTCATTATATTGTTTAATTATTTGATTTGTATCTTAATAATTTATTAATAATTTCATTATTAAATGTAAACTTAAGTTTAAACTTTAAATAAAGTATCTTTTATATATAGACGATATAATAATATTAAACGAATTTAATTAATTCTCTGGTTGAAATGTTTATAGAATATTTTATTAAATACTAGATTATAATTTTATAAATTTTTTATATATTATACGGAATATAATATAAGATCTGATTGATAAATATTTTACTATATTTACTTTATAATGCTCATTACTTACAATTAGTTTGTTCAAATTATAAAAGATGAATTCATAGTTAGATTTGTAATTATTCATTATATTTGTTCCAATACAGTATATATGGTAATAAAATATAATTACATTTATGTACGTATATTACTTTAAAATAAAAATGTATAAATTTATGAAAAATATTTAAAAAAAAGTAATTATTTTTTATTCAAATTAAAACATTTTTTTAATATTATATGTAAACATGTATTTCTTTAATAAAATTTAAAACTTTCATTTATAAAATATAAATATATATCTTGTTAATATATTTAAAAATAATAAGAATAATTATATATATAATAAATAATTATTATATAAATAAAAATAACAATATTTTTAGCGAGGTATACTAGTTATAGAGTTGCTAACAAGAAAATCTATTTACTGCTATTATATAATTTAAATTTAACGATTTTCAAATATGTAAATGTAATAAATGATTATATGCGTAAAGATAATAATATATGTGTTTTTCAAAATAAATTAACACAAAATTGAACATGAAATATTGAAAATTAAAAAAAAAGAGAAAATAATAGTAAGTACAAGAAATATATATTTTACAATTAGATTTCGACCCTGGTCGGCTGGCAAGTTAGCGACATAAACGCATTTCGAGCTGTATCACCGAGTTTGCAAGGCGAACATGGATGGCCAACGATAGCCTCCTTCGAAGTGGAATATCGGAGCCCTTACTGGCTCGCACCCAAAATCTACACCGGAAATCATCTATCCTCGTACGGAAGTAATCTCACTTTTATGGTTAGCTGGATCGTCATGCGTGGAGACACGAGTGGACGACCAACTTCTGAGCCTGATGTTGTACTTATCGTAAGTAATCTTTCTCCTCTAATTCATAAATTTTATTTCAGCCTCAAATATTATTCCGCTTTTTACGATACTTATAATTCACTCTAAGTAGACCTAGACTCACCGAAGCCCAGCATAATATTTTCAGATATTTTTTCCTCACATTTTCTCATAGTTGAAATTTAGTATTATAAAAAGAGTTATGATTATTATAATTTATTTTGTTTATTTTTAATATCTATCTTATATTGATATTTATTATTACTTATTTAATTTAGCTAGATTAATGAATATTTAATAACTAATTCAAAATCTAAAAAAAGGATCGGAATTAAAAAAAAATTTAATTTACTTAATATGCTATGATTATAATATGATTTAATGTAAAGACCAGTAAATGTTAATTTAAAAAGTTTAATATTTGTAATGTATGCATTTTCTTTATAAATCGTATTTAACGATGATATATTTCACGTTTGTAACTCCATGATAAGTATAATTATACTGAAACCTTCAATTTTATATTATATTGTAATAATTATATGTATTTATTAAAAGATGTAACTTATATTAGGGTAAAAACGGTGTACGAATTGCATACGGGG